ATTATATGTATATTATATATATATAATATAATAATTATATGTATATTATATATATATTATACAAATATTTATTTCATATGTATAATTGTTATATCTAATATTATGGATCATAATAAAATTTTTTTTTTAAATTTGTAGTACTTCTATAATATTTAATTTGATAATGATGAAATTTAAACAACATTCACATTTTAAATATTAGTATTATATTTAATTTCGCATAGTTACAGAAATAGATATTATTATTAATATATTTGATTAAAGCAAAAGTACAAAGCATTTTAATGATATTCATTTTACTTTTTTAATAACAATTAAAAATTGCATATTAAAAATTGCATATTAAATTTTTTTATAAGATACCATTCAAATAATGTAAATTTTACAATAATACTTACATTTAAAAGAACAAAAAATAAATTTATTACAGAAGACAATCTTTTTAGTTTTAAACATATATAAAAACATATCTAAAAAAAATTATTTATGTATATTACAATCTTGTAATAGAAACATCAATTCTAAAATGGATATTTTGTATTTTATTAATTATTGAATAAAATGTTTCACTTCACTGAATGTAGAATCTTGTGCTAGAAAATATTTTAAAGCGATAAATAATAATTTTTATTATATATTCAATTAGTATATTAGAAGAAATTGGGCAAACTTTTATTATTAATAAGTCATTTGTGAAATCATATGAACAGATAATAGAATATTATATTAGTTAATTAATTTATAATATTTTATATCTTATAACTAAAAATGAATAGATTAATAAACAGTTTTAGGAAACATTAAAATATGTGGAGATCTTTTACTACTTCAATTCTGAAAAATTCATTTGCCCATTCCTATAGAATTTTATAATCATTATTTGTTAAACATCGCATTTCACTAATTTTATAAGTATTAATTCAAAGCAGTAGATGTAAGAACAGCAACTCCTCTTTCATAAAAACTATGAGGATCTTGACTAGGAGCAATATTTAAATCAACAGTAAAAAGTAATTCAGTACGTGTACTATTAAGATAAACTGGTAAAGACAATTTGCCCTTTCGTACATCATCGGTGGCAGATCGTATCCATCTTAACATAGTCACTGGCAAATCGGTCATTATAGTTGAAGTTAAATATAATTGATTATCTTTACATTGTGCTCCTTGCAATTTAAGACCTGTTACAGCGAACGAACAATCGTCCGTTGCAATATTATCACTGTCCCCTATAGTTACATCAAGTTGAAGTTCCTCTAATGACCAACTGTTTGCTTGTGCTATACATTGTCTTGTTGCCGTAATATAAGCTTCAGGATTTAATAACCCCCCAAGCCAAACGGGAAAACTCTGAAAAAATAATTACAATAAATAAAAATAATTTTATATACCAAAATAATTATATAATAAATTAAACAAACAAACCTTAATTTCTTTAGCTCCTCCTTGAGATACTAATCGTGAAACTTCTTGTAATTGTGATACTCTGTGACTAAAATCTGTTATCCATTGTATTACAGTACATCCTCTTGGTACTGTATATCGTCTCCATCCACCTGGTAAAATACCTTTTACTAATTCTGACAACATAGTTCTATGATAATTAGTTTGCTTCTTTTTACCCTATAAAAAAAAACACAAGACATATTTAAAACAAGAAAATTAATTATTAATTTTTAATATTAAAAATCTTAATAATTTTTTCAAATTATTCAATTTGATTTTTTGAAAATTTGAAAATTTTAAAAAAATTGTTATTTTAAAAAAATTTAATAAAATTTTTGAATAAAAATTATATATATTAGAATTATTATATAGATTCAATTTTTATGTATTTTTAAATATTTTTGCAAAATGATGAATGATATTTTTTCACAATTATATTTAAGAACTTGAATGAAAATATATATATATATTAAACATAATAGATATTTAAAATGCGATATTATTTTAAATATTAATTTTCAGCAAAAATTTAATAATTAAATTAATGAATCTGGAATAATACCTGACAAATTAAAACAACATCTTCTAAATCATGAATTACATCTTGTAGCAATTTAGCACCACTATTAACTTCTCTTTCAAAATACCTATAGAGAGGATCTTTTATATTTTCTACAGTTCTTTTTAATGTTGGCAAATTTTTTGGAAGTAATTGTAACCACGTTGATGCCGAATTGTGTAATGTTCTCATCCATGATGGACGACCATCAGCTTCTGCTTCTCTAGGTGTATCCAATGATTCTTCGTTAGAATATGCTAATTCATCTTCGTCTTCTAATTGTTGCATCTTCAATAGTTTAGATACTAAATCTGTACCTCTAGTTGTGAGTAATACTTTTTCTGCATTATTCGGTAATCCAAGCCATGAAGGTGTTTGTCTATCAGATAATGACTCGATCCATTTAAGGAAATGATCACGTCTAGTACCATCTGGCATAGTAATATGTCGTTGACCTCCTTGTAGACCATCAATATTAGCAACTAATGCAAAATCAGTTTCAAAAGATCTTGGAGTAAAAAGTTTCCGAAGAAATGATGCAAGAAGACGTTGATCAAAATCATTATCAATTTTACCACCGTATATACATTGAGAAAGTAATGTCACTAAAGCATCCCAAGGTACTTTTTCTGGAGGCAAATTAGTTCTACCCATAGCAGTAGCTTCTATCCATGTATCCAAAGTATCACAAGCTACTCTCAAATCACTTTCATTGAATTCATAATGCTTGGCCCATCCTAATGGTGCGTAACGAAGTCGTTCTTGAACAATAGCATGGAACCATGCCAATAAGAAATAAAGACGAGCTCTTTCATTAGGTACTTTCATCATTCTTGATGCCGGCACCGTACTAAATGTTCGTAATAAATTCGCTCTAATTCCAGGAGGTGGTTCGAAGACAAATATTCTGCCAGCTCTAAGTAGATTAACTGGTACTTTTGGATTAATTTCCATAGTCAAAAATAATCTAAAGCTAGTATGTGGTTGTAAACTATGCAATTTTTTTTCAAGTTGTACTAACCACTGTGGTGCTAAGTGAACATTTTTCAATAATACCCATCTACCAGCTTTAACAGCCATATTTATCGCTCTATCTGCTTGATTAAATCCTTCTGCAGATCCTATTGCGATACTGGCTATTTGTTTGCCTGATTCAGCTGCTAAATCATCTACCCGACCAGAAGCATCAAAACCAGGTACTGAACAAAGCAAAGCGGGTACAGTAGCTTTTAATTCATTCTCAACTACAGAAGCAAAATCAAGTTCTGCTTCTGCAGCAGCCATAAAAGATTCTCCTAATGCGGAAATTACTACTAAAGACGCAGCAGCTATTACACGATCTGGTCGGAAT